CCAATAAATTGATCTGTAATGTAGCCAGCAGGCCCAACACCTCTTCCATTTCCCAGTCATATAAATTCCTTCTAAACCGAGGAGCCCAAGTTACACCATTCTCTGATAAGGAGTACGAATCAGCAACCAAGGAATTATCAGACTTTTGATAGGGTTAACCTTATAGCCCTGTGACAACTTCAAACCAGTTGAGAATCCCAAGAAGCGTTTCCAATTGCATAGGAGAGGCATCAATGAAACATAGTGTGTCGTTTGCAAATTGTAGAATGTTGACCTTTTCACCCCCAGGTTTGATTGCAAAGCCTTCCCACAAACCAGATTCAGCAGCCCTCAAGCTAAAAAGAGTGAGAATTTCAGTAACACAGATGAACAACACAGGAGAAAGAGGGTCTCCTTGCCTCAACCACCTAGAGCTCTCAAAAGTACCTGCCGATTGTCCATAATGAGAACAGAAAATTTAGGAGTAGATGTACATACTTTCATCCAATTTCTCTATTTTTGCCCAAAGTTCATCCTTTCCAACACAAAGTCCAAGCATCTCCAATTGACATGGTCATAGGCTTTTTCAATATCTAGTTTGCAAACTAGTCTTGGAGTCCCCTCTCTCTTTTTGTAATCTATCAATTCATTAGCAATTAGAATTGAATCAAGCAATGGTCTTCCCGGAACGAAAGCACTCTGATTGCCAGAGATCACACTGTTCACCACCTTCTTCATCCTTTCAGCCAATGCTTTTGCTAAAATTTTGTAGAAGCTGTTCAAGAGACTTATTGGTCTGAAATCTTTAAGGTTTACTGCTCCTTCAACCTTTGGGATAAGAGTGATAAAAGTGTTATTCAGACTTCTTTGCAAGGATGCATTTGAATGAAATTCCTGGAAAGCATTGAGCAGATCAGACTTCACCACCTCCCAGCACTTGATATAAAAAAGATTAGAAAAGCCATCCAGCCCTGGTGATTTTTCAACCTCTAATTTACTAATTGCTGATCTGATTTCTTCCTCAGTGAATGGTCTTCCAAGGAAAGTTTTTTCTTCTTCACTAAGCTGTTTGAAGGAAAGGTTCACAGGAAGAGGCCTACTGTTCCAATTTTCTTAATACAAGTTTTTATAAAAAGTTGTTGCAATCAGCTTGATTCACAGGAAGAGGCCTACTGTTCCTCCCAAACCAGCCTACTAATTGAGGAGATTCTATTTCAGGCATTTTCCATTTTATGAAAAATATGGGAGTTTTTATCCCCCACTTTGAGCCAAGTAATTTTGGTTCTTTGTCTCCACTTCAGTTCTTCCTTGACTACAAAGCTGTCATACAAGGCTTTAGCTTGAAGTGTTTTCAATCTTAACACCTCCGAAACTGGCCCAAGCTCTTCAGTTCTGTCAGTATCCTCAATCAAATTCAGACAAGCTCTTTTTTCAATTTCTGAATTCAGATTGTTCTCTAGATTCAGACTTTGATTTTTTCTTTGACTGCTTTCAGCTTTTTTGCTATGATAAACAAGCTGGATTCAACCACCTGGTAGTCAAACCAAGCAGCCCTAACCATAGGGATAAAACTGGCTTCCTCAAACCATGCATTTTCCAACTTAAAGGGGGTTTTCACCTTGTCCCTTTCTCCACAGATTAGCTGGATTGGAGAATGATCTGAAACTGGTCTGGGCATTATCATTTGCTTAAAATCTAGGAATAACATCCCAGTTTGTGGTAACCAAAAATCTGTTCAATCTAACTAAAGTGGGTGCATCTTGGTTATTTGTCCAAGTGAAATTACCACTCACAAGAGGAAGATCAAGTAGTTCCAAATTATTGACAAAATCAGCAAAGAGATTCATAGACCTTGTCCTTCTACTTCTAGTGTTCTTCTCCTCAATTGATAGGGTGACATTAAAATCCCCTTCTATTGCCCAGGGGCAAGTAGAAGAGCCTCTCACAACTGCTATTTCCTCCCAAAAAGCATTCCTTTGGTTTGTTTCTGACGGCCCATATACATTTGTTACCTGGCACACACTTTCCATTAGCAAGCTCCAACAAAAGAGAAATAGAAAACTCCCCAATTCTGTGGGACACAACCCTACACACCGAAGGATCCCACAAAATTACTAAACCACCTGCACTGCCCCTAGCCGGCTTTGTCTCTCCATCTCACCTGGCTCTTACCCCAAATACTTCGAACTATTGAAGCATCCAAGATTTCTAGCTTGGTTTTTTGCAGCAAAACAATATTTGGTTTGGATCTTTTCAGCACATCACACACCACCAACCTCCTCCTTATTGACCCTAAACCTCTGACATTCCAAGACATTTTTTTAACTTCATTTAAACTTATCTGGCTGCATAGACAAACACAACCTACTCTTCTCAATTCTTTTTGTTCCCCCTTGATCCCCCTTCACTACCCGTCTTGTCATTCAGTCCCCAGGTAAGCCTCACCATTTCCCTACCCTTTTTCGTAGAAGTACCCCCTTCTTTGTTGCCATTTTCCCCCTCTCCATAAGGATCCTTTGCTCCATCCCCTCCAAATAAGTAATGGTCTCCTCTTTCATACCCTCCAGCGAAACCCCTAAGAACTTCCCTAGGCCAATCATCTTCGAAGAGACCCAAGTGGAAGAAGAAGGTTTAGAAGACTTACCTCCCTGTGACAACGGTCCTACTGCTTTTATCCCTTATTGTTGATCGACAGATTGGAGTTCTCTCCAAGGGGTATAACTGCAGGTTGTCTGGTTGCTCTTGTTAGAGAGTTCTCCGTTTGCTGATCGACACTTTAAAAAACATTTTGGTTGTCATTCACGACAACAGCTAAGGGGGTTACTTCTGCAGGGTCATCCACCTCTTGTACCAAAGGATAATGAGGGGACTCCAACTGCATCATCTCCAAAGACTGAGAGAATTGAACTGGAGGGGGGGGATACCATTGCCTTTGTTTTTTCATCTCCTCCCTATTGAAAGAAGTGCACCTCCGTTCATTAGACTCTATAGGTGTTTCCTTTCTCTTCGGAGGTTGGCTCTGCCACCCAGGACCTGGGTGAACTAGGTTTAAATTTGGTCTGCCCAACCTAGGCCTAAGTTCACTTTGGGCTTTTTTTGCTTGTTGCATTTCCTTACCTCGCATTGGACTAACGTCCAAATGGGTCAACTGCAACTCATGTGGGTTTGCTCGCATACCCGAATCTGTAACTTCAATAGGACTCGAGGCTGACATGCATTCTAATTCTCCTGTTTTCATCAACACTTCTCCCCCTTTGAATGCCACTTGCATTTCCACAACACATTCTTTAATTAACTTCTTCAAGTGGTCTACCGCCACTACACCCCCTTGACCCTCTTTTAAAATTTGAAATTCCCCCTTATTATTACCCCAACTCTCCCATCTTGGCCGTCCATCCTCTTACAGATCGAATGGCTCAAAGCTCTCTCATCTGTGTTGCCATCATCCCCTTCCCCGGTCACCTGCGCAAGAGAGTTCTCTGGCTGGCGATGTTGCGGACGAGGATAGTTGTAGCCTTGGAGGTTCTCTCTTTCTGAAAATTTTTTGATTGCCGACTCTCCCCTTCTTCTAACACAAGAGTGTTCGAGACCATCGAGCCCACTTCCCCTCTTTTTTTAGTTGATTCATCTTCCACAAACCCTGGGTTCCATTTGCTAGCACTCGGAAGGTGTTCTAGCCATATTGTGATCGAAAAAAGGATCTTCCCCACTACGATACCTACTTTCTCTGGAATGGACCTTCCTTGTCTCACCTTCATACCGATCCACTCACAAGTTTGGAGTTTCGGTGGAGAGTCGTCCGTCTCTAAGAAACCCCTGCATCTATCTCCAATCGTTTTTATCACACTTGGACACCAAAGTATTAGAGGGAGATCGAATATTCTTATCCAAATGGAGTCACTCTAGTTGGAATATGACTTTGATTCAGGATAGAAATAGCCAACACTTTCCCCCCACCAGTCGAGCAACAGTGAGTTCCTACCCATTTGCCAAGGGCCATTTCTGAGGACCCTGTTTGCTTCAGTCTTTGACGGGAAGATGAACAAGAATAGTTCATCCGCCATTTTTTTCACTTTAACACCTCCCACTTCCCTCCAAGTTCTGTTCGTCCAACTTTCAACTTCTCTAATCCCGGTTCCCCACCAAAACCTTCCCACTAGACAACCCTGCAAAAACAACTTTATATCTTCCACCCCCTGGGTCTCCGTCACAACCACCAGATTGTCCCCAACTTTTCTCAGTTCCAAGGCTCCATAATCTGACCATGCTCTAGCCACAATTGCTGCTTTACTATAGAAGTCTTTCCTGATTCTCGCGTCTGATCCGCCTCTGTAATACCAGTTCGTAGCCTCCCATCTCCTTCTCCCCATCGGAGACCTCCTTGGAAATCCCCTACGAAACATCAATGTGTCGCACACCACAGTTCTCTCCCTTCACCGACATTCTGTAAAACCTCACCGGAGTTCACTCATATCATTTCTCTCATTTCATCAGAGTGTCCACCCTTCACCGACATTCAACAAGAAAACTCAAAGTATTTGGGGGATCTGCTTCAGCCACACCTTCTATTAGCGGTTCCTCTAGGGGGCAGCTGGGCCTGTGTACCCCATGGTCAAAACCCCCGTTTTCTGAGATTTCTCCAAATTGCGGATAAACTTTTTCTTGTTTTTTCTTTCTCCTCGATTTATAACTCTTTCTTTTAAATTAATAAAATTATGTTGTTACTCATAAAAAAATCTATTGGGGTCCAAACCACATCGTTTCCATTTGTTTCATATAACTATCCCATAACAACTTATTTATCTTCAGCTATCACAAAAAACGAAAGGGGAATAACTCCATAGGTATACTCTATTGCACTAAGGATCCTTCAAGAAATGTGAGCCATTTTTCCAATTGACCCTGATTAGCTTATGCTGCATTTCAAACCTTGTCTTTGTATCAACTCTTGCTTGAACTAGTATTTTGTTTTGACTACTTTGCTCTTGTTTTCTAATATTGTTGTTCGTTCCAATTTGTAGGAAATGCTCGAACTGGAGACAAGGCGTGAACGTGTCAAACTTAATGTTGCCCGTAAGCATCCTTTCTTATTAACTTTCCACTTCTCGTATAATTGGTTGCTTGGTGATTTCAAGTTCATATTCCCTGTACCAAATGGTTATGTATTTTCCAGGTGATCCTATTCCATGAAAACTAAGACTTTGATGTGATCTATAACTTTCCTAGAATACTTCAAGAGCTTGTAGGTAGGATGCAAACCACACATTACAATGGTTGTAGCATCTTTTGCATGGAAAGAACAAAATCCACACAACAACAACAAAAACTATTCGTGTGTTCGTTTTCATATTAACTGTTGCTGCCAACAAAAACAATACTGATATTGACAACAACAACAAAATCTAGAAATTTCTTCATAAACTAAACAGAAAGTCATTATGGCCATATGTTCCTACTAGAGTCACCAAACAACATTTTATGTGTTCCTTCTCATTAATTTTTGTTGTCTTTTTGACTCGATATGTAATATTTTTTAGGAGCACCCATGGAGATATGTAATTAATAACCCAGAACAGAAGAAAGAAAGAATTAAAGATAATAATAAGGGTCTTATTGGATGTTGAAAGCATAATTTGTAGTGAAAGAAAATGGGCTTATTTGTGAGCCCATAATATCAAATAAACTTAAAAATAGCTTATAACCCAATTAGGCGGGGGTATCTAGTGGGCTAACTAAAGCTCATCTAGACTAAATGAGGTGTCTCATTGTTAAGTCCTTAAGTTTGCTGGACCGGGAGCAGGATATTAAGATACTCCCAGTCACAGCTTAAAAAAATAATAATAAAGAAGAAAAAAGGGCTTTCTTATAACCTCCCTCAGTTCTCCATTTGAAGTTTTGAGTCTTTTTGAACGGCGATCAAGGTGAGAACTCCAAACAGAGTACCACTTTAGCAGAGACGGTGTCGACTGACCAACAAGGCAACGGCCAATCACGATTCAGTGGATCACGACCGAAGAATTTGCAATTTTGAACTTCAAAGATTCATATTTCATAATTTATCTTTTGGATTGCGTCAAGTGTGTTCTCTAAATAGCTAAGAGCTACCTTGGCTGCTCCTTGGAAGGCCATTCATGAAATTCTTCCTACCTTTCTACCATATCAGGTTCAAGAATAGGCCTATTTCCAAAAGACTATTTTGAAAGATTATTAAATGAACATTTAGAGGACGCTAATGGAGGAGAGACTGGTAAGGCGCCCCCAGTCTCCTAGCCTCGCCTTTGCACCTTGAAAACTATGGTTTTTAGGTGGCTTGACACCTATGGTGTAATCATGCCGGCGAAGATTTACTAGCTGTCGGTGGGTTTAACTCTGAAAGTTGCCACTTTGTGCAAGAAGAATCCAAAAGGTGCATGAAGGGGAAGGTAGAAATGGAGTTCGTGCGGGCAGGTCAGTGGAGGAGATCCTTGAAGATAGAAGCAAAAAATTTCCTATTCGAAGAGATGAGAATCAAGGGGAAGGTAAGCCTGAAGGTAAGGGAAGAGAAAAAGGGTACAATATTGCTGGAAGGATTAGAAGTGATCGAGTGGCTAAGAGAGTTCATAGCTGGAGCCTGTTCAAAAGGTAAGCAGATAAACTGGCWRRRTTTTAGTACATTAGAAGGGAGAAGATATGTTGTTGAATGTAAGAGGAATAGAAAAGG